TGCTTTCCCCATCACAGTGCTTACAGACGCTCTGTCAGTCATGTGTATTCCAGTAGTCTGTAAACTAGTGCCTAGCACTGTGACTGATGCCCTTCAGGAAGCTAGCTGATGAATTCTTGATGGATGGAAAAATATCTGAATGGCTGACTGGGACAAGTGGGTTGGGTGAAGCTCACTGCCCAACTTTCATAGGCATTCGGGATCCTCTTCAGTTCTGTATGCTGAACATTTGAATGAAGCAGCACTACAAGGAGCTCTAGTGGCCTAGTGGTAAGGAGCTGTGCTGAAATCCCAAAGGCATGCGGTTTGAATCCACCAACTGGTCTGCTGGAGAAGGAGGGGCGATCTCTTCCTGTGTGAGTAAACTGCCTCTGGAAGTCTGCTGGAGGGTCAGCCATGAGTCAGTTCAGACTTGACAGCACACACCGCTGATGACAGGATATCTGTCTTAGTGCTAAGAAGTCTAACCAAAAGGAATTACATTCTTGACTACACAACCTGTCATGCCTTCTCCTGCCCCAAGTCTGGCCAGTTCTATGTCACAATAGAATTTCCTGAAGAGTGTTTGGGACAACTGCTGGTCAATTTTTAGTTTACAGAAGTTGCTTGTTCTATGATGCAGAAAATCCCTGTTCAAAAGCTTCTCAGGCTGTGGTGACGACGAGAGCTTGTGATATTTCTAAGACCAGATGTAAGTGGAAGGCAAGCTTCTTGTCTGTCTGACTTAAGAGGTATTTTGCTAACAAGATGACTACTTTCTCAGAGCAACTTGCAGCTGGGTCCTGGATATTGGAGACTGAGGCAATTCTTCTAAGGCTACCCTTCAAGGAAGTTATTTATATATTGGTGAAAGAATGTGGAAGAAGAAGAAAGTTGGCATGAAGTATGAAATATTGTTTGTTTCAGAAAAGCAGTGTTGTGAGGGACCATGTCCTCTAAAAAAAAAAAAAGCTAAATAAATGTTATTATTGTTAAATGCCATCGAGTCGTAGGCAACTCATCGTGACCCTATAAATGAAAGCCGTAGGTGACTCATACAGATCCTATGAATGAAAGTCCTCGACCCTTGAGTGACTTTCATCCTTTCTCCAGGTTCATAGGGTTTCTGGAGACAAGCTATTATGGAAGTGGATGCCACTCCTGCTTCCAAGTTTGTTTTAATCAGGGAGCGCCACCAAACACTGTCCGCCATGAGTAACCGTTATTACATTTGACATGTCAGTGTCACAGTGTTCAGCATCACAGCAGCCACAAGTTACCTCTGTACGGCAAGTGAACACACCAGGGCTATATGACCTAGAAGAATGTTTGAACAAAAACAATGAAAAACAGGCCTGAGGGCCACGGATTAAAGTCACCCACTTCTGGCTTGGTAGCATCATTTCGGTTCACTAGGCCAACTGGTCTCTCTCTGTGTTGTTAAGTGCCATCAAATCGTAGGCGACTTTCCCTCCCTTGTTGATTATCATTATTTGACATTTTGCATTTACAGCAATAGTTAAAAGTCTACTTTCCAACTATTTAGTGCATTAGCTGTATATGTCTGATGATAATGTAAGCTGAAGTGAGAGTAATGCTGATTGTGATGATCATGGTAATATGTCAACTTCTGGTCCTAATTCTCAGTAGTTTGATGTTTATGTAATGATGTATTTTGGTCATTATGCGACAATGTCATTTGGCAGTAACCTAATGATGCAACTTGGCAGTTAGATAACAAAGAACTCTTAATGCTTATGTAATGATACAGTTAATCCTCCACTCTGTGATTTGATGTAGTCATCCTCCATTTTCATATAACACCAATTTCCACATAATGACCTAGCCTTTGGAACCCAGTCATCGGGATAAATGAAGAGTGAATTTGTTTATATTACTTGGTGGTGTCTGTGGTGGGTATTGAATGGAATTTTTGTAGCGTATAGAATAGACTGGCAAAAGAACAAGCAAATCTGTCCTAGAAGTGCTGCCACTGTGCTCCTTAGAGGCAAGGACTGTGAAACTTTGTCTCAAAAAGACATCACGTTTATCAAGGTGGAGGGTCAGAGAAAGAGACGCTTACAGAGGACAATTGCAACAATCACTGCAGAGATGGGTTTAAGCATAGCACAGGTTCTGAGAATGGAGCAGGCTCAGGCAAGGTTTCCATTTGTTGTCCACAGAGTCCCTGGGAGTAGAAGTTGACCTGATAGCACATAACAACAACAAAGGGGAAATAAGGAGGAGCTTCATCTCATGAGCGCCTGCCTACTCAGGGCACTATCTCTTAATGACCCAATAATGTTCACATTTGAGCTCCACTGTATACACAGATAAACTGAGGGCCAAAGCCATACAAAGCTTTTCGGCTTTTTTCTTTCTGAGCCCCTGCTCATTTCCATTTCTATTAGGTTTCCACTCCCTCTGTCTTGGAGATGCTGGAGAGGAGATGGTAACTCAGGACCTGGGCCTCCCCCAGAGGCTGTCTTTCCAGTGCTTTCAGAGATCTGGACACCCAGCCTGTGCCAACAGAAAGCCATGTGGTGCTTCCCCACTTCTAACTACTCACAACCCATCAAACTCATTTCCTCTGCTGTTTTCATTATACAAAGAAATGTATTTGTTTTTTGTTTCACTGGGGAAACATCAGCCTAAAAGTCCTGGAGGCTAAAATAATTTCTCTCACCCTGTGCGGTGATGGCAGCAAGCATGCTATTTACAATCAGCTGTTGGCTGCTCTGTCTGGAATCTAGGTGACTCTCTTTGGTGACTGTGTTTTTATATAAAATATGAAAGGGGGCAAAGAAAAGCAAAACAGGGATAAAGAAATAGCAGGTATTTCAGTCCTGTCATGATGCCCTTTTCTTTTTACCAGTGAGGGTGATTTTTCTGAGGTTTTGAAAGCTTTAAATGAGGTCCTTCTTGATGTGCTCTGCCTTTGTGGACCAGACTGGCAGACCCCTAGACCTTAGTGAGCACCTGGAGGCCTCTTTCCATGGTCTTTCTGTGTTAGACTTCTGGTCTACCCATTTTTTACTTACTCTTGGTCATCATAATATTTCACCCTCCTCCCATAACTGTGGATAGCTTCCTCCCAGACTCTTGGCTTGACTTTACCTTGACTCTTTCTCCTGTGAATCTCTACTTGACCCACTATGTCTCAGGGTGACAGACTATGAGGAGAGAGTATGGGGCCGTGGAGATGGTCTGTCTCCTGGTCTCCAATATCAGCAATGAGTCAGGAGAATTGTGGAAAGGTCAACAAGGGACAGTTAATCTTTGAGTTGCCACAGTGATGTGTAGACTCAGGGAACTGAGTAACACAGGAGTGACACGTGAGTGATATAGGAGGCCAATTTGTGTGGACGGGCCAGAAGCAAAGGTTTCATTGTTGTTGTTACGTGCCATCGAGTCAGCTACTTTTCTTGCAACCCTGTGAACAAAGGCTCTGAACCTTGTTCTATCCTAAACCACCCTCTCATCTCTGACACACTTAAACCCACTTAATTAATTTGAACATAGCTCCCATCTGCACCAAATAAAATGAGCACACTGATACCCTCTCTCACCATTGATATCTTGTCTTACCACACTCCCCCAAAATCCCCTAAATTGCCTCACGGATCAAGGAAATAATTATTTTATTAAAACAAGTATTTACAATGACAAAATCGAAAGGCAACCATGCTGACAAATAAATGGACACGAAATCTTTAAAACTATAAATACGTGATCATCACTTATAAAAATCAGAACAGCTCATACATCTGGTAATTCTCAAGAATTGTTTCACCATTTGGGGTGAATGAAGCATTTCTAAAGAAAATACTCGTCTATCCCCCTAAACCAGGGTTAAGGATGCTCCTCTCTTCTCATGTCACCATCTGCCGGCTCTCCTGTGATTCTGCTGTCAATGGGCCCTTGCATCCCTCCTGCAGCTTCCCCTTCAGTCCACTTTGCCCTTGGAAACCAGAAAACCACGCTTCTTAGGATGGATGGTAAATGAAGAGTAAACAAAATTTTTATTAATGACCTCCAGGTTACGGTGTGAGAAATTTCATGGCTTTGGGGAATGACCTTATTCTAGTTTTGTATAAAAATTCTGTGAAAATGACAGATCAGCTGTAGTTAAACTCCACAGTTGAGTTTGTTTTTCTTCTCTGTTGTTGTTATGTATTGCTGAGTGGAAATGGACTCCTAGTTGACTCTCAACTGGGTTTTCAGAGGCAGTAAATCACACTGCAGGAGAATGCCCCTCTTTATTTCATGGAGCAGCTGGTTAGATTAAATCCTTGTGCAATTCTCTAAAGTCCAGAGTTCCTGGACTTCTGTGACATAGCTCTGATCATTCAAAGATCAAGTAAACAGGCTTACATGTGCAGTAAACTCAGATGATTGAAACTTACTAGATCCCCCAACAGCTAATCGTCTGATTATCTTAGCAGCAGAAGACCACCTCAGAAGCTAGAGCAAACACCCCTCCACCTAGACCCTACAATACACTTATTAACTTTTTTCCTTGAAAACACAGCACACTCTTAATTCTACCCCAATCAGTTAAAACTTAGCCTATGCCTCTACCAAAAATTTACAGACGCTGGTGCAGATGTCTAAGGAAATATTATTCCTTCCTCAGACTTTGAGATTTAGGCAATCATTCCACATGTAATGGGTCATTGAAGTTGGACAGCCATGGCGGCAGTGTGGTTATAGTCATTGACCATCATATCAGCTCTGGAGTCAGATTGTCCAGGCCATGTCCTGAAACTTCTTGGCTTGTCTTCAGAAGGAAGGGGAGCTAGTTCTTACAAACTCAAGGCAACATTTATGATCTCCTTTCCCTTTTCACAGGCTGGCTGTCCAATAGGGTGGTCTTCAGGAGGGGAATCTTTGCAGCTGAGAACGTGAGTCTAGAGATGTGGGACTGAACAATGATTGAGTGGGTTGAATAACATATCCAAAGTCTTCCCTTGTGCCATGTGTGAAGTCCTCTCAGTGGGCACAGGCAGGAGGCAGCCCTCTCAGGAGTAGAGAGTCATCATCAACCACTGAAATCATGGAAAGGTAAATTGTAGTCAGTTCAGTTTCATCTCCTCACATACAGTCAAAAGTGTCTTCAATTCTCTGTAACCAGAAATGCTTGGAACCAGAGCCTGATGCAGGTCTTGGGTTCTCTCAGCCTCCCTCTTGGGAAGCCGTGGAGATGGCTTTAATAGACAGTTTACCCAGAGGGACCACACTACCTAGGAGTAAGTGTAAATCCATCTGAAATATAATCAACCTCGACTTCCAATGGTGCCCAGGAGTGATGATAATAAGATACTGGCTGACTCTGCATTAAATCCTCAATGAAGATTTTCTTCAAGAATCCCATTTGGCACACTATGACAGCTCTGTGTGGGTGTGTAGACCAACTAGGTCGTAGAAATCCATTAGAACATATTGGGTACACTTACTTTTATGGCCCTAATTATCTGACAACTTTATGTGGGTGTGATAAAGGGCCTCTCTAATCTATAGAAAGAGGGCATATGGAGAAGTTACTCCAAGATAATGATATAAAAATTATGATAACAGTGGTTATGATGAAGATGACAGTGGCAAAGTAGTGCTAGAGAGATGACCACAGAACAAAGCTCCAGTGAATTGGTTGCTCCCTCCTGCGGGCCTCAGGTGGCCATGATGAATCTCAGAATCTTCCAGTCTCATGGGGCCAGAGATGGTGAGTGCTGAACTCTTTCAACCTACACAATTCACACATGGAAGACCCAGAGACTGACAGTGAGTTACACACGATCCTAGAGCTAGTGTTAGTAGTGTTATGGCTTTAACTCTGACCTAGACTCCATCCAAGAATTTCTATGGTACAATGGCTAAGAATTGGACTTCTGAGAAGTTGGTGGTTCTAACCCACTCAGCAGCTCTAGAGGATAAAGAGCTGGTGATCAGCTCCCATAGAGAACACTGCCTAATAAAGCTTAGGGGGCAGCTCTCCTTTGTCCCATGGACTCCCTGAGAATTAAAATGGGCCTGATGGTATCTAATAGCTGGAAATGGCCTCAAGCCCATTTCTTGGCTCTGAGTCACCAAAAACTGACAATCTAACAGCTGGAGAGGTCGCAGTCCAGCTCTTTTCCATACCAGTACGTTGCTATGTACTATGCTATGTATTATTGCTATGCCGCTTATGTTGTGGACTGCCCTGGTTCATAAGCCACACACTTCTTGTTCTTCTAGCCCTGTGTTTGAAGGGATTACTTAGGGTCAGCAGGTGATAACAAAGTAGTTCAGGATGAATAGGCAACTGAGGAAGGAACCCAGAAGATTTTAAACATTGCTACCGGCTGAATTCAATCCTCACACTTCAATATTGAAGGGATTGACAGGAGACTTGTACTTAAGGTCCTATATGTGGAAAGATTACTGCATTAAGTGGACATCTGAGGTCAAGAAAGAAGGCCCAGCTTTTACTGAGCCCTTTCTTAGCATCCCAAACAGATGATATGTTTCAGAAAGAAAGCACATGATTCAATTCTGTGCCTACACAACCCAGCAGTGAACACTACATAGCACCACATCTGACACAGAACGGGTGCTCAATGAGTAAGTGCAATTGGAATGAGAAATGGTACCATGCACACATTGATCTTCTCCCTTACGCCATTCATTCAATGAACATCTGTCAAGCACTTGTTAGATGCAAAGGACTGTATGAGATTCAGGAGAAGGGCACAGAGGCAAGATGGAAAGTTGAGGTATTTCCCCTGCCCTGTAGAGAAGACCACGTCAGTTCCTAAAATGAGCTCTGCTTTTGTATTGTCCTTCTTGTCTGGTCAGACTCCAAAATCTTCACACACATCTTAAATCAATATTCCTACATTCTCTGTACGAAAGCTGGGCTTGTACGTACTATTTAATGTAGTCTGAATCTTTCCTGTGCAGCTTCAGTGTCTCTTCCTTTAGGAAACTTAAGCAAAATATCCCATCTCGAGTCTCTTCTATGACTGAGCTAGAACTGATGGAACCAAATTTCCCACTTCGATCTTCGTTCTTGCTCTCTTCCAAATGACTTTGCAATTCACAAAGAGTTTGCTTTGGAAACTGTGAAAAATGGACTTGCCATGAAACTTGCTTGGGACAATAGAAGGGGTTGTGAGTCATTGTATGCTATCTGGGAGCCCATATCTCAACGGTCAGCATGTTTAAGCTCACTTTCTTTCATTTCTGCCTTTTTCCTTGTCAGATCTTGATCAAGTGCTCTAATCAGGCTCCCATTTGACCCCAGAAACATGAGAAAATGAATGAGATTCACCACCTCATGACTCAGGAACTAATCAAATACTTCCTGTCTGTGGGCTGACATGGCATATTTGTGGTAATAGTTACTGAATATACCACGCCAGTCTTCTATGCCCTTCCTAGGTGTACAAATGAGTGAGGTGCAAAATCTTAAGCTCAATAGAATATGAAGTCTCAGAGTTCTCCTCCTTCACAAGAGCCTGGACCTACAATGGCCACCTGTACCCAAGGTGATATGAACAGACTCCATGAAGAAAGGCTTACCTCTGTCTTCTGGAGGTATATCCCTTTGCCATCTTGGGTCAAGTTTTGGAAGGCATCTGCAAAAATGCAACAGAAAGGAACACAGAAAGGCAATTTTTTTCTGGTGTTGGAAATATTACAAACTAGCTCTTCCCATATACCTCTTATCCCCTTAACCATGCCCATGAAGAATGCCCAAGGGAACCCGGTTTAGGTATATGTGTAGGGGCATGTGATTATGAACCGAGTGAGCTCTCTCAAACCTCTGCTCCTGGAACAAGAGGAGCAATAGCCTGGGTGGCCACGCCATGTCCCTCCGCCCCATAGCTTGTGTTTCCTTCAGCTTGCACGACCTCTTATTTCTGAGTGGGCAGTTGTTCTCTTTGTCCATGAAATAGCAACAAGAAGGCAATTCACAGGGAGAATGGAGGAAGCCCTGGCCCTCCCTCCTTCCTCATTGCTCACCCTCCATGTTCTCTGCACGCAGCATCAGGAGGACAAAACGCACAAAGTCCATCTGCAGAGTGGGGTCGCCATAGCGGATGAGCATCAGCTTGCAGACTTCATCACTGAACATGATTCCTGCATGAACACAAGGTCTTGCAGGCTGAAGGCAGCCTCACACCCAGCTCCCCTCCCCTAGAAGATTCCTGAAGATTGCCTTCTCTCTTGAATAGCATGGAGGACTTCATTTATTGGATTCGGTTTTCATTGTCTAATTATTTAATCATTTTTATCTCCACTTCCCACCCCTAGACTTTAAGCTTCCAGCGTGAGGATTTTGGGGGACAGGAAGTGGTCTACTTAGGGATCAGAAGCAACTGTTTAAAAGCCTGATACTCCTGGATGTAAACTTTGAGTGAATTCCTTCACTTCCCTGGGTCTCACGTTCTTATTCTGTAAAGATGATTTTAAAACAGGATGTTGTTGGAGGTTAAAGGAGAACTTGGAGGTTCCAAACCTCAATAAATATAAATGCCAGATATTATTATAATGGACATAACAATTAATAAATCCAATTCTTTGAGTATACAAATGCATTTTAAGACATCTAGTTGGCCGTGTAAAAATGTCTGGCTTCCCCGAATGGGTACTGTTGTTATCACTAGTTAAAAGTTGAATGGATGACTGTGTAGACTATGTTCTAACGCTCCCTGCATCAGAGTGGCTGAGCCATCCCTTCTTCTTCCTTTCTGGGAATGGGTCCCTTACCAGCTCCACACCCAGCAGTAGCCAGTCCTTTCATGCCTACCTGCCTCCTTCACAGCACCCCGCAGCTGGTCCCAGTCCAGGCATCCTGACTGGTTACTATCTTGGTTGTGGAAAACCTTCTGCGGAGAACCAAAACCAAAACTAAGGAAGCCAAGCATTTCCAAGCCCTTTAAGAGAACCCCGGAAGGTCCCAGGGTAGATGTCGCAGAGGATTGTGGGGATGGCTTATCCCTGCTGGCATGAGAATATGGCAGAGGGTTCGTGCCAGCTCCTACTGCCTCTTACATCCTTTCATGGAAAACAACTTTTGAGAAAGGGAAAGATGATCTTTTTCTCATGGGATATAAACCTACCAGGCTTGGGAAATGTACGTGATACACATTTTTCGGTGGTCTCAAGTTTATGACCCAGGAGAGAAGCAGTAGAGTTGTGACCAATAATGAGAGAAGCAAAAAGCAGCTAATTTATGAAGGAGTTTGAATGCCATGTTAAAGAGCATGAACATTCTCTGTAGGCAATGAGAAGTCTTAAAAACCTTTTAGTAAGGAAGCAATGTGGTCAGACATGTGCTTTAAACATTCAGGAAGCATAAACCAATGGAACAGAATTGAGACCCCAGAATAGACCTAACTACCTATGATCAACTCATATTCGACAAAGAAATCAAAGCTAGCAAATGGGGAGATGATAACCTCTTCAACAAATAGTGCTGGTAAAACTGGACTTGCACCTGCAGAAAGCTGAAACAGGACCCACATCTCACACCATACACAAAAGTCAACTCAGGTTGCATCAGAGACCTGGGAGCAAAGTCCAAAACATTCATAAGAGACAAACAGGGATCAAGCTTAAAAGCTTGATCTATAATGCTCTATAAAGAGACTGCCAAATGCATCCAGAAATGCATAATCTGAAGAGGATAAAAATGATGCATGGGACCTCCTAAAGATTAAATCCATGTGCGCATCAAAAAATTTTTCCAATAGGGTGAAAAGAAAACCTACCAAGTGGGAACAAACATTTGTAATACCATCTCAGACAAGAGTCTCGTAACAAATGTTTACAGAACACTTCTGGGCCTCAACAAGAAAAAGACTGAGAACTCAATTAGAAAATGGACAAAACCATGGAAAGAATTTTCACAGAGGAAGAAATTAGAATGGTCAGCAGACATATGAAGAAATGTTCCAAATCACTGGCAATAAAAGAGATGCAAATCAAAACCACAGTGAGGTACCCTCTCACTCCAGTAACACTGGCAAAGTTTAACAGGGCAGCAAGTAATAAATGTTGGAGAGGATGTGGAGAGATAGGAATTCTTATAAATTGTTGGTGGGATTGTAAAATAGTACAACCTTTCTGGAAGGCAGTTTGGTGCTTCCTCAAAAAGCAGAACCTAGAAATTCCACATGACCCAGCTATTCCACTACTTGGAATATACCCTGAGAAAATGAGAACTGAGGCACAGAGATTAGTACACAAATGTTCATCACAACATTATTCACCATTGCAAGAACATAGAAACAGCCCAGAAGTCCAACCGCAAAATATGGTACATTCACACAATGGAATACTATGCAGCATGCAGGAGAAATAAATTTGTAAGTTATTACCTAATTTGAGAGGGACTGGAGAGCTTTGGGCTGAGTGAATTAACTCAGTCCCACAAGGACAAATATTGTATAAAACCATTATTGTAGCATGAGTATAAGGATCCAAGAGGGGTGGGAGAAGATAGAAGCAGAGAGATGAGGATGTGCAGGAGGAGGGGGGATTAATCATGGAGTAGTACAATTTGATGTGTTGGGAGGGGGTGAGGGAAATTGGAAGAATCTGTTCTGGAAAACAATGTATTCAAATTTTGTCAATAAACTAGCATAATAATAATAAAACTAGAAAAGACCAAATTTCAGGAGGCTAACTGAACTCAGTCCCATCAGGACAAATAGTATATAAGACTATTATTGTAGAAAAAGAAAGATAAATAGTAAAGCATGTTTGAGGATTCAAGGTGAGAGGGTAGAAGCAGAGGCATGAGGATGGGCAGTGGGATAATCATAGGGTCGCAAAATTTGATGGGTTGGGGGGAGTGGATAAAGGAAAGGGCAAAGATCTGGTGTGA